GTGTTCGCCGGTGGTGGTTGCTTTGGTCCGTCTCTCCGCTGATGGTGGTTGCTTTGGTCCATCTCCATTGATTTCAGTCAGTGGTTGCTTTGATTATGGCTGAAAAATTACAGTGACTCCATCTTCGTCGCGTATTGAGAGAATAATTCATCTTGGTGTGTACAGTGGGCTTCGTTGTTTTGTTCCATAACGAATCGTGTGAGGAGCCATGGTTGTTGTACCCTTCGACTCTGACATGTATGGCCATCAAACCCGGATGGATTTCTAATTTCTTCTTATATACATATCTGTTAATGCGATTTCTGAAAAGTTTGATCACCGATTTCTGTAAAAGGCTTTACAATCTAGGGTTTCTGAATTTTTTTTAATTTCCTTATCTGTTGCAGAGACGAAGAGAGAACAGAAAAGGGAAAGTAGAAGATATTATTTGCAACAGACAGATATAAGCTGCATACAGTGATTGGTGGACACGACGGTGTGGTTAGTGTTCGGGTATAGCATGTATCCATTTGGTCATGACGGCGTGGTCAGTGTTCAGAGATAGCATGTATCCATTTGGTCATGACGTTGTGGTCAGTGTGTGTCCATTAAGAGAAGAGTGTGTGAAACATAAAAGAGAATGTTCGGGGATAGCATGTGTTCATTTGGTCATGACGATGAACACATGCTTCAACACTTCGATATAATCTTGCTAATTTGCAAGTTTATGGTGTATTTTTGCCCTATCACAATTTATATCTTGAATTAGTTTTTAGCTTTTAACATGTAAGAAAAGAGAATGTATAGGTTATTATGGATATATTGGTAAGGACATTCATATCCACGATATTATATCCATTGGAACATGACAACATGTCCACACTTTCACGTTCATCGGAACCTGTGAACATGACAATCATGTCGACAGTTCATGTCCATTAGAGCTTTTATTGATGGGTTGATTATGTGTTTCATATATGTTATCTTTTGCATTTTATAGACATTGTATCCAAGATGTAGTATCCACGACGATATATCAACGATTCATGATCCACAACTCTATCTACAAACTTATCCACCACTATCCATTTACATGGTCAAGGATGCTTCTCTTCTTTCATTATCATGTTTTACAGGAAACCTAGAATTTGCACAATAGTTAAAAAAACCAAATCGATGAAGAGATTATCATCACCCTTTTACTCTTTGTCATTTTGAGATATCCATTGAGTTTGGTTTTGTTAATTATATGTTACATAGATGGTTGATCTGTGAATGTATTTTTATTAAAGGATTAGAGTTTATGGAGAAGGAAATCTCGTTGCTAGCTTATTTTCAAATAACATTATCCATGTGGACAATAGACCGTGGTTAGGGTTTTGTGGTTACTAATCGATAACTTGTCTATGATCTTCCATCCACATTTACTAGCGTAATAAGGTGCAACTTTGTTATATCAATAACATACAAATGGTATAATTCTTGTGACAGAACCACACAAAGAAAACTATATGTGCAGGAATAAAGAAAACAAATCAGAGATTAATTAAGAAACAAATCTACCAAAATTCAGGAGTAGTAAAACGAGTCTTTTTCACTAGTAAAATGAGAACATAAAGATTGTGATAAAATTGCAGTACAACATGTCCATGCTATATCGAACATATGTACAAAAGCATATGGACAATATACAAGAACCATGACCATTTGGATAATAAATGAGATTGTGTGACCATAGAACCATGACCATTTGGATATGTTTGTGGATAGTTTGTTTGCGTGACCATAAAACCATGACCATTTGGATACGTCTTAAGGTTTATCCACAGTTTCAGTTTCTTCAAGATTTGAAAAATTTCTTGCAATTTACCATGTGTGGTCCCATTGAAAACATGTTTCTCAAAACAAGCAAATCTTAGCATGTTGCTCTTACCGAGTAATATCAGTTCTAATGATTCAACTAAATAAGCAAATCAAAGGATCCAAAAGATTCCCAAAACCCAAAAGTATCTTCTTTGGATTTATTATGCAATTAGAAACAAGTTGCACAACTACGAATGACAAATCATATCTTCAATTACTCAAGCGTGCAAGCTAAACCAAAATCAAAAACACAATGATCGAGAAGCACTCACTGCATTGTCCCATACCAATCAAGAGTTTCCGAATGGAAGGGTGACGATCGAATTTCCATTTGTCACTGCAATATAACAATCCTACAAGCACCAAAATGACATAGAACACTAAAATCGTACTTCAATTCAACCCCAATGTGTGTACATGATTCATACTTAACCTATTTGAACAATTAGAGAGATTTAACTTTGTCCGATTAGACCTAAATGAAGAGTACTTATCCATAAAATCATCTGCTTGGAGAAAGGATTGATGGTAAGAAGAGAAGAGACCGTGACGTCACGGAGATGGCGGAGGAAACAACATCATCAGATGCAGAAGAAGGTGCGACACGGAGATGACGGAGGCTGCGGCGGAGCAGCGATGGTCAACGAGCTCGTGGTAGCAGGAATCGCGGAGCCAAGGTTCGAGAGAGAGAGAGTGATGATGAAAACTCAATTTTTTCTTGTCGAAGATTCAGTTTATTCTTGTCGAAATCCATCACTAATTCATCACAAAGGTGGGTAATCGTCCAGGCTTGGATTTAAAGGAGATATCGAAATCGATGTAGCTTTTACAAGCTTTCTGATTCAATTTAGGATAGACGACGGTTTCGACTAATGTACCACCGTATTGAGGAACTCTAAAATTCTTAATGGCACATTCGTAAATACCTTTGATCGACTCTGGTGATGTCACTTTGAGATTGATTTGAAAGACCAAGTACAAGGGATTTTGACATGCGATTATGACGATCGATAATCATAGTTTTTTTTAAGAAAAAAGGAGAGATCGAGAGATCGAATGTATCTGCGTGATTTTTCATGACGAAGAGGAGACAGAAAGATCCAGTTTTTGTTTTTGTGAGAGAGAGAGAGAGATTATATCTGAACCATCAGATTTTAATGAAAATGGAAGGCTGGGATTAACTAATAGCCAACTAGAAAACAAAATATCACTCCTTCCCATAGAGGGGCAAATTCGTCCGAAAATGCCTTGTTTTCTCCCCAAAGTCACCTCTCTTTGCAAAGTGCCTTTATTTGAAAGCTAAACTCTATAAAGTACTTATACATGTAATTTTATGGAAACATTTTCACCCTGAGTTCGATTTTATGGCA